CCGTTTGATTGATTTAAATTCCATAGAAAATGTTACATTCGAGAAATTCAATTTCTACTTTAACTATTTGATACGAAAGTGAAAATGAAGTTTGAATTCCAAGGTACGGCCGCTTTAAACTTATTTTTTTGCTAATTTCATGGAAAATACATTCATATAAGGTACTTGAGTTTTTATTTTCCAACTTACATAGAATTGAAAAGTCTTTCCACATTTGTCAATCAAACGGACCCTTAGTTAAATCTTAAATTCCTTAAATCAAATCTTAAAAAGAGAATAAAATCAGCTAAAGAGACAAAGATCCCCTAAAAAGAAAGATTTCATCCATATTTGACAACCATTAATTAGAAAAAATAATGTTTTGAATAATGATTTTTAGGAGAATGTGTGATTAAATAGTATGAAAATGTTTTGGGTTTACATGTAGAATATTTTATTGTGTGAACGTGTAATTATAATGTTTTTGAATAATGGTTGTGAAACAGAGTTTTCGTGTTACGATAAATCTCAAGGTATCTCAATGAATTAGTCAAATCTCTCCCTACCCCATCATTCCTAGTAGTGAAGAATCATTGTGTTAATTAATCAATTAATAAGTCCTAAAAGTGCTTAATTAAATTTGTAATTTATCATTCGGATGCTTAAAATTTCCAATAGTGCATAAGTCAATAAATAATATTTGTAGGGCTAAGTGTACGAAATGAAATATTTTGTCAAAATTGAATAACCATTTAAAGAAATGTTCCATTTATTTATATGTGCACAGTTGGTCGGTCTCTCACTTATTATTCGAGTTGCTTCCTAACGTTAAAATTGAAGTAAAGTTGATATCAACTTTTCATTGTTATTCTCACTAATTAGCTTCCATCAAATTTATACATTGTTATAAATTATAGCAAGTAACTTTCTATGTGAATTTTTTAGTTAACTTTTGAAAAATTACCACACTTCTCTCTATTGTAAGTTTATTTGTCATCTTCAAGGATCGATCTTTCTCATGTCGCAATCTATTTCCAAGCCAATCAAGTTAGTGAAGGAATTTTAACAAAAATAAAAACCCATCGCTAATGAAGGAATTTTGAGCTTTAGCTACGAAAAAAACCCGATGTTGAAGCCCACATATTGCAGTTGTTGTCTACAAGGTATGTGAGATCCTATAGAATAATGTTGATCTTGGAGATTTTCCTTTGAAGCGTTGCAATGTTTGGGTACGTGAGTGATCACATTTGAGATGCTCTCCCCGACAATGAAGAGCCAGTTCCTCCTGGTATTGTTAAAAATTGGAGTTCCATCATAAAATGTCAACCTTATTAAGGGGAGTAGCTCAAACTCTTATAAATTGATCTATATTTTCATTTGAAATGTTGCAATCTTTGGGTAGGTGAGTGATCACATTTGGGATGCTCTCCCCGACAATGAAGAGCCAGTTCCTCCTGGTATTGTTAAGAATTGGAGTTCCATCTAGTGATGGCAATCGAGCCG